CTGTTGTACGATAAGGCAAGCTGAAGCAAAAAAAAAACAAAAGGCAAAAATTCAGAAAGCGGCAAGTCTAAAGTTGAGCGCATGATGAACCGCAGGATTCTGAAGACGACTGCCCGAGTTCCTATGCTTCAGCCTGAGGATCAGACTGATCAGCTTCATTGGGCCCAATGGTGGTCTCAGCTCCAGCAGCAGAAGAGGCGGGCTTTGCACTTTGCCGAGCCTCCCTTTCCCTCTGCTCAGCTTCCAACTCCAGTCTTTCAGCTTCCTCTTCGGCTTCCTCAGCCTTAAGAATTTCAGCTTCAGCTGGAGTTGCATACTTCATGTGAGGGTCTTCGGGATTCTGGACCCACTCAGCACATTTAGACCAGTCCAGCTTCGGCTCAGCATGAAGGCAGAGTCTTCGGCATACTCGGAATCCGTTTCTGAAACCCATCTCATATTCCTCTTGGGTGTAAACACGGACTTTGAGTAAAGCCTCAGCATCAGCCAGCTTCTTCTGGGTCTCCTCCAAGTCTTCCTTGGATTTCTTCAGCTGTTCAGCGACTTTGGAGGAGGACCCCTTCAGCTCATTCAGCTCTTGCTGAATTTGGAAAGCCTTTGTCTGAGCTTGGGCCACTTCAACTTTCTGGATCAGCAGTTGATCCTCAGCCTCTTGGAATTTAGCTCTTTGAGCTTCAGCAGCAGCAGCAGCCTCTGAGAGTTGGACGTCTTTGGCCAAGAGCAACTCTTCAGCAGCCATTCGGCTGGCTTCAAGAGCCTCTAGACGCTGCTGCACTTCAGCTTGTGCAGCAGTTCCTTCTTGAATTCGGCTCTCAATAGCAGCCTTGAATTTGGAGACGTCCACTCCCATATGCTCCTGGAGGAATTTTTCCCCTTCCATCAGTGGGGGAAAAACCTCCATCTCCATAGCATCGCAGAAGGTTTTCAGAGCTTCGGCAGCTTTTTTACCGTACTCCTCAACCTCCTGCTGCTTCTCTTCAGCTGCTGCTTGCTTCAGCTTAGCAAGCTTAACTTCCTCTTCAGCCACCTTCCTTTCGTGCACAGCAGCGTCTACCCTATCTTGTAGGGTATCAATCAGCTCTACAGTGAGAGTCTGATTGTGCACGAACTGAAAACAGGAAGACAAAAAAAAATAAGTAATAAAAAAAAAAAAAATAGAGCTGAGTTTTGGAGGAAATGAAGGAAAATTACCTGCATCATCAGCAGTTGGTTAGACCTGGCTGGGTCAGGAACTGATCTACTGGATTCGCCCATCCCAGCAGTGGCCTTCAGCGACCAGATCCTTGCCCTGTCTACTTCGGACATGCCAGCAAAATTGCCGAAGTAGGCTGCAGCTCCTTCTCGGTTTTGACCCCATATGAGGTCCCAGATGTGATCTGGGATTGGAATTCGGGGGGCCGAGAAACCCATTTCTCCAGAATGCAGAGTCTGGAAAGAAGGGAGGGACGACGATGGAGCTTGATTAGCTTTGGTTGTCTCAGCTTCGTCCTTCTCAGAGGAGTCAAGTACTATGACCTCCTCTTCTTCAGGGGTGAGGACGAAAGCCTCAACCTCTCTTGCGATATCTGCCGTGAAGCCTTCAGCACTTGACATCACGGCATCTTTATTTCCGTGCTCAGCAGCACTCTCCTTGATTTCTTCTTGGACCCCTCCCTTAGGTTCGGGAGTCCTCTGATCCACCTCCATCTCAGGAGGTGGCGGAGGGGTCTTTTGAGGAGATTGGGGTGTTGGCTGGGGAACCCTCGGCGATCCATTGCCTTCCTCAGGTTCCCTTATTGCGACGCCGATGGTCATCGGCCTCTGCTGAAAGTCATGAGGGCCGATGATGGCCATCCTTCGGCGCCTTTTCAGAAGAGGCTGCTCGTCCATATCTGAGTCTGAAGACTCTTGTATTTGATCTTCGGGACGAACAGGAGCTTTGCCTTCTCTGTGTCTGTTACTCTCTTCAGACTGTAACAGACAGGGGGGAAGAAGAGTGTGAGTAAAAAAAAAAAAAAAAGAAGAAAGACAAAGTTAAGTCTAAAGGCTCACCGAGGTCTTCAGCAAAGCCTCGTCTTCTTCAGCTGCCCTAGCCGCAGCTTCTTCAGCAACTCTGGAGGACCCTTCTCCACCTTCACAAGCTTCAATAACCCGTGCAACCTCTTCGGCTGTACGGGCAGCTTCAGCTTCTTCTTCCAGCAGCTGAAACAAGGGATCCCTCTTCTTCCACCAAGGCTTCTGCCTCTGATACAGAGCAACAGCCTCAATTTGGAAGTGGGAAGAGTCTAGGTGAACCTCTCGGCGCCTTGGTTCAGTGATAGGGGGAGCCCGATCAGTTACGACTCGTTCTCGGTTGACGCCAAGGCGAGCGTAATCAATGCCGACGTTGGTCTCGTCCCGTTCTGAAAAAGAAAAGGGGAGAAGTCAATTCAGTTAGTTCGGCACATCACAAGAAAGCAAAATGAAAGAAGAAAAGAGATAATTAAAAGGCCTCGGCCCCAGCCGAAGAAGATTACCATCCCTAAACTTTCGGCTGAGGCCGACAGCTGCCAGCATATTCTCTTGGAAAACATAGTGCGTATCGGGGAGCCAAGTCTCCGGGATATGCTGCATTCGGCCGCTGCCTCCCCGGTTCGGCAGCTTGCCGAAGATGTTCTGCTGATTAAGGTTCGGGTCTGGCCCGCTATCTTCGGGAGGACCTAAACTTCCCATATCAGGATCCGGCTCGGCAAGATACCGGGGAGCGCTGAAAACGTAAGGGTGGCCCGGATCTATGGGTGCCCTAACCCAAATCCATTGACCTCTCCAGTCCTTGTCTGAAGAGTCATTTGGCCACATGGTCAAGTATTGGGGCCGGGACTCAATCCGATACCACCCAGAACCATGGCTTCCGTGCCCACTCTGAATATTTGGCACTAGCCGATGGAGCTTTCTGAAGCAGTGCAGGTTCGGCACGTATCTGAAGAACTTGCAGACCCATAAGTATGTCATCACCCTTCGGATACTGGTGGGGGTTAGCTGACATAGGGAAATGTTGTAATGGATCAGCAAGTCTCGGACGAAAACGTCCAAAGGGAACCTCAGCCCATACTGAAGCTGTCTCGTGTACACCCCCACATACCCCGGGGGTGGACGATGGATTCTATCGGATGCTGAGGGCATTCGGCACCAATATCCATCAGCTTCAAAAATGCCGTAGTGCAACTCAATTTGCTCGGCAAATCGATATTGATCGGCGTTCTCTACCCACCATGAGTAGGGGCGGTTCTTTATCATGGCCGAAGCGACTTCGGCATTCTCCCACTCTGAAAACCCAGGGAGGATATCCCAAAGGACAGCGGGAATTTCATCGTCCCGTCCAGAAGCACTCGGCTCATCCGTTCTTTGAGGAGGAGCCGAGGAAAGGGGAGTCGCCCTAATCCCATCAGCAGGGTCAGACTCCGGCCTTCGACCATTCCAGGTCCCAATCCTATTCCTAGGATCGGGAATCGGCCTTGCTCTTCTTGGAGCACGGGCTCTACCTCTAACTCCCCTCACCATTGACGAATTTCGAAGGAAAAAGTCGAAAAAGGGGAAAGAGTGCAAAGTCGAAGAAAGATGAAATAAAATCAAAGGAATTTACCTTGATCTGAAGCAAAAGCCGCCGATTTACGAATTGGTAGTGACAAGTCTCAGCTTCTAAGCTTAATGCTCGGGGAATTTGCGAAGTTTTGATGCGGGCTCTTGAGCGTTCTTGAGAATTCTGGGTTTGTGTTGATGAATGAGTGGGGAGAGAAGACACGCCTCTATTTATATCTCCAGAAATGGGAATTCAAGGAGTCTGCGTTTCAATTTCTCTCAAGCACCCCACTAAGTAACCGTTAAACACACGACCTTGCAGTTAAATCGCCCACTACCCGTCCAACTTCCGCAATTATCCACATCAACTGTTGTTATCTCATTAATCATGGGTTAATTATGGTTTAAATTCACATTTTTGGATTAACAAATCATTCACTTCCCTCCTTTTCTGATTAAATCAAACCCGACCCGTCATCCTTCCAAATCGGGTCTGGGGGGCAAGTTGTTTGGGTCCAATTTAGTCCAATTGGGCCTGGTCACTGAATGATCCAATTAAAAGCCCAAGGTTAAGGTTCAACTCTCCAAATGTGCTAAAGTCAAAAATCAAACATCCTCAAAGCCATGTCAAGGTCAGTCAACGGCCCAATCAGCTTGGCCCAGCCCAACTGACTTCCGGGCCCAATCCGCCTCCTTCATTAGCCAAGGTATAAAAGCCAACAATTTGGTCAATTCTTGGTAAGACAATAAAGCCTCAAGCAACTAAACTCTTGCACAGCTTTCTCTCTCTAATATACTGACTTAAGCATCGGAGGGGCCTTCCTCGGCGTCCCCCCGAGGCTAGTTTACGTGTATTTGTTGTGCAGGAAACCCTCGGCTCCTGCGTCGTTCGGACCGAGACCAAGTTCCCTCAAGATAAAAGGATCTTCCGAGATTCGATTGTTTTCATCCGAAACAATTTATATTATAGTTAAGTAGCAAAATGGTCAACATCAAAGTAGAATTACTTGCTTTTTTGCTGTCTATACTTTTCTTCCTAAATGAGGCTTCTAAATTCTTCCTTGGATATGTTACTTTCATTTTACTCAAGCCATCATATATAATATAACTTGATCTGAATTTGTTAATGTATCACTTTACATTAATAAACTCAAAAATCAGTTATTTCAACCATGTTGATTGCATTTTAAGGCTCTTAAAACAACAAAATTTAAATTATATTGGGACCATCACAAAATGTCATATGTAATATATATATATATATATTTTTTTTTTTTTTTTTTTTTTTTTTGAAACAATGTCATATGTAATTTAATTTTAATAAATCATGCTCTTTCATTTTTTTTTAGTGTGAACAAAAAATTGAGGGTTGTTATTTGTATTTTAACAATATGGTCACATAGATTTATTAACCTAGCTATTAACATAAAACATGATTTGATGATATATATACATTTTTGAAGGTAAATCATTATTACCAAGCAATGATTTGGAGTGGTATTTCTTTAGTCCAAGAGATCGAAAATACCCGAATGGATCAAGGACAAATAGAGCAACAAAGGCAGGCTATTGGAAATCGACGGGCAAAGATCGAAAGGTAAACTCACAAATGAGAGCAGTAGGGATGAAGAAGACATTGGTGTACTACCAAGGGAGAGCACCTAATGGCCATAGAAGTGATTGGGTTATGCATGAATACCGCCTCGACGAGGGAGAGTGTGAAATTCCTTCTGGCTTACAGGTAACTTGAACACTCTTATATCTCATATTTTAGAGTGTAATTGTATCATCTTTGGGATTAGAGTATAAATCCAAGCAAAAAAAGTTAGTGATTCTACTTAGAGTGTGAAATTGCACATTAAAAATCTAACATTTTCACAGTAAAATATTAAAATCACACCTTTGGAGTTTAAAGTTTCTTTTTCTCCCTCAATATTCACCAAGTCCATGCAGTAATAACATGTTAATTTTTTTTTTTTTTTTTTTAAAGTCAAAATTTTCTAAGTACTCAATATTTTTGAAGAGTGACGATAAAAGAAAAATGTATAATTTTTTTTTCTTAAACTAGTACAAGGCTAGGTTCTTAAACAAATTTGTTTTAATTCAAACATAGATTGATATATAATACAAAACTATTGCACCGCTTTTAATATGTACGCTTTTAATGTATACTAGCTTATACATGTACACTTATTGTACGTTCATTCTCTTGTTGCTAATTAGATTAGTTGGTTAATCATGCGGGTGATTTCTAAATTTGTGTATGTATCTCATTCAGATCAATCATTGTCTTTTATGACTTTGTCCACGCAAAAAAATCAACAATACTATTATTTTGCACCAACAATTTCCCTCCCTTATAAATGACGCTAAATGTTTTTCTTGTCTAAACGCAGGATGCCTATGCGCTATGTCGAGTATTCAAGAAAACCGCGATAAATATCTCAAATAATATTGCATCTTCATCACAAGAACATTCATTCACCAACATAGTTCAAATGTCAAGTGATCAATCGTCGAGCATCGACATGTACACCGAGGGAAGATGTGACGATTTTGAGAGCTCCGATTATTCGATTCCTATCGAAAGATGTTCAACTAGTGCTACTCATGGATCTTCTTCATCACTATGTGATATAGGAGATGGGCAATGGATGCAATATTTGAATGAAGATGAATTCTGCTAATTCATTTTATTATCATATATTATGTTCTTCATGCTATTATTCATATTGGATAAATTATGCATGAAGTTAATTATCATACAAGTAATTATTGGGTTTTTTTTAATCACTTGAAAATGGCTTGGGTTACTAGCTAGATGCTTTGATATGTTTTTTTTTTTTTTTTTTTTTTTTTTTTTTTTTTTTTTAAGGCCCAGAAAAGAAAAACATTAAAAACCCCTCCTCCTCACGACTCATGAGGGGACTGCTTTGATGTGAAATGGGTCCATAGTTTTTCAACAGGAGCATTGTATGTATGTATATGCACATTATGTATGTTACACTTCTAAAACTAATTAAATTCGCCATTTGATTGGGAAAAGGGGTAAAAGGATATATTGTAATTTAACAAATTTATTCTATCCCCTTTTTTACACAACACTTGTTTTATGTTATAGATGTCTCAAAATATATGTTTGAAAGATTTTTTTTTATTTTTAATTTATTACATTTGATTTAATACATAATGTTTGAACATTTATAGTTTATAAATTGAAACATATGGATCAAATATATAGTTTATATTAAAATAAGAGTTGATAAGTTGAGAATTTATCAACAATTCACGAGTAATTGGTGAATATTGAGGGAGAAAAAGAAAATTATTGATCATATACTAATTATAAATGCTCCAATTAAATTATTGTCCGTCCCAAAAGGACAATATAGGTTATTAATGAACCTAAAGCACGTCTGAAGCGTTGCAATCCAATAGAGTTAAAATATAAGAAACTTTTGGAAAAGGAATGGAGTATCTATTGACAATCATCACAAATTTGAGAAAATGATAAATCTCATTACATTTCTAGAATAAAATCACTTTTAGTAAGATTCATATGTTCCATGATTATGTAAAAGACTCCAGAAGAGTATGAAATGTCCAACAGATTAACATGTATCAAGATTATAGTCAAAACTCCAGCAGAGTATATATAAGTAATTATTAGATAAAATATTAATTAGTTAATTGTCTTGCCAATTGTATAAAGAAACACATGTTAGTGTTCTAATATCACATCACATTCATGACCATGCATATAGTAAGTTTAATAAAGTGCTAGTGTTGAAAATTGACTAGAGTTCAAATTTAGAGAAGTGATTGAATGTGATAATTAAATTAGGTCATCCGGGTTTAATAACAATTACCCGTAACGGAAACCTGAAGTTTCATCTGATAATGTGCTGACGCTTTCTCAATATTAAATATATAAAATGAATTGAATGACAAGACGTAACATTGAGATTAGTTATATTTGGATTGTGAGTTATAATAATTTGTATTGATGAAAATTTCAAGATTTAATATGTTTTGATTTTTTTTATATAAAGGAGTAATGGATGATAAAGGAGTAATGGTTGACCAGAAGTTCACCAAAATAACTTATATATTATTGTCAACTATCAAGTGATCAGAAGCTCACCTAATATACTATTTAAGTCTTTAAAGATCCAGAAGATCATCACCTACTAGAATTACGAGCAAGTGATTTATGCTTGTATAACAATTCTTTTGATTGGGGCTATTATATGTCAGCACATATAAAATAGGAGAAGAAAGAAAAACGTACAACTGCACAACATATGTCTCCCCATTGACATTGATCTCCAGAAGAGAAAATATTATTGAAAATTTAATAATAAATACACATGAAATATAAAGTTAATGAATAAATGATTCTTCATTGAAATTGTTCTCCGGAAGAGATAAATTTTGATTGTGATTCTCCCAATGAAATGAATTTTAATGCAAATTTATATACTAAGTTGGTATAGGATTATACGCCCCTATAAAAGAGATATTTTACCAACTTAGGGGGAGAAGAAATAGCAAAAGTTGGGAAAATCGAAAAAAAAATAAATAAATAAAGAATATTTATGATCCCTATAATGGTAGTTTGAAAATTGATATATATGCCAACTTTTGTATATACTATACATTATCAAGACATGTTGCACATTTATGATTTGATTTGTATTCAATTATGACTCATGTTGCATTGCGTTGAAGATACATTTTGGTCATATTAATTATGTGTATACATTGAGATAAAATCTTGCCAATTGTACTTGAATCACTACACGTGAAGTGTAGGTTGTATATGATCGGTTCCAAAATAAATATATGTTTAATAGATATGGTATTTGGCAAGATAGTGCAGTTAACACTAATAGTGTAATAGTATATAAATACCATAGTGAATGAAATACCCTAAAAGTGGTATAGATTTCTAAATTATTATAATAGATGACCTATGATGTAAGAAAGTGGTACCAATGAGAAATGTATTAAGATATCATAGTAAAATAACATGTAGAATGTAAGTTAAAGGAATTTTATGATAGCGGTACATAATGGAACTGATGAATAATATGCATATGCATAATAGAGTGGACTAGTGAATAAGAGATCTGAAATATATGTCCATTTTGATGTCGACATAATGATAATAATCATAAGTTTATCATGGACCAGAAGTCTAATGAAATATGGATTTTTAAATCCACACTATACAGTGTCTTGCATTATTTAGAGCCTTATGTATGTTCATATACATGTGTGAGTCATAGGTTAATGGATTATTCATTGCGTATATTGAAAGTTGTTAGATGCATTACTCATTGTATATTTTGTTTTCTATATCTCATATTGATGCATTAGTTCTATACAATAATTGTGGTATATGTGAATGTATGTTCAAAATATATATAGTATGGCGTATTTGTAACTTTGAAGGAAATTACAAAGATATATTTATATTCCAATGGGCTTATAGTTGTGATGAAATTATTGAAAACGTCGATTTAATAACATGTTATGAATCATGTAAGAAGAGTTTTTGAAGAACTTATATACGACGTATTTAAATAACCAGCCCTACAAATTTTTGAATATTACAATTATCAAACTCTTGAAACTTTTATGTGACTATATCATTGACATCTTAACCTAAAGTTTGAGTATATAAGAGTTAGTGAGATTTATTGTTTGTATTCGTAGAAAAATTATTGTGTTGTTAATTACGAAACTTCTAAACGAACGGGATACTTATGCGTGAGACTGCTTTCTTATGGTCCAGAAGAACCATGATCAATGTATATAATTACATATGTTATATTATAATTCATATGAGATTGAAGAATGACATTAATAATGTCAAGTTTTGTCATCAAATGATTATTAATGAATGTTTGATCAAATAATGATCATCAATTTCTATTATTAACAACTTCCAGAAGAAGTCATAATCGCATGAGTTTAATTTTTAAATCAACTATTAAACAGAGATTTGAAATAATGATATTAGAGATAAACACATGTATGGTGAAATAAAGACACTTCACATGTTCACGTGAAGACTTGAAGAATTGAAGATGCAATTTCAACTTAGGAGATTAGAAGATCAACGTATTATATTTTACTTACTACATATGAGAAGATATCCAAACATATTGAATTCGTTGTTGCGGCACTAGAAGATCTCAAGTTATGTATTCATCAGGGGGAGAAAATACGCGCTGCACTCTTTTTCCATCGACCATGGTTTTGTCCCACATTGGGTTTTCTTGGTAAGGTTTTTAATGAGGCATCATATCGAGCGTATTACGAAGAATGTTGTACTATTTTTCCTTCATTAGGTTTTAATCCCACAGGGTTTTTCCTAATAAGGTTTTAACGAGGCACAGTATTCGATAATGGATATCCAAGGGGGAGTGTTATGAAATATCGTGTGGGTGACCATTATGCTCCTTATATCATTCTGGAATATTCTAGATATATGGTTTATTCTTATCTAAACATATTTGTGGATGTCCATCATGTATCACTCTAGAACTTTCTAGAGTTTAGGGTTTATTATTCTCCAAGCAAATTCTATCAATTGTACTGTATATATATATATATACACACACACATACATACATACCTCCATCATATAAAGATAAGTAGAATACACATTTCAATTCCCTCTCAATCTTTATATTTCTCCTTATTTTACAATACAAAATTATTATTAAATAACATTTAATTGATTTTCATTTGAGCTTTGGTTATATGGAGTAATATTATGTGAAATGTTCGTTTTAGCTAAAAACTTAATAATCTAATTTTTTTTTCCAACCATCTAATATCTAAATCTATATCTAATATTAAATCAATAACCACTTAGTTATATTTTCACCCGTAAAATCTCTCCATAATTAATACTCCGTACCAGTTTTTTTCCCCCCCATAAATTTCCCTTGATTTTAGGATTTTTAAGTTCTTTACACCTCTTGATAATATTTGCTTAAATATCACTATTTCATATGAATCCTATCCAAACTCCATAATGTTATTTATGTGTCATCAGACAACGTACAATTCAAAAGCTAATAAACCTTAACAATAATGTTGCAACTAAAGGACGACAAAATTGTAAATAAAAAGAGCAACCACGAAAGAGTAAAAATAAATAGTCTCATGGTAAAAAAAACAATCTCTTCGTAAATACATTTTTTTTTTTAATCTTTTTGAATAATAATAATAACATATGAAGTATAATTTTAATATTTTAAAAAAGGCATTACAATATTTTGTTAATTTTTTTTTTGAATTAATTAATGATATGTTTGATAAGAAAAACATTGAATATATTTATGGGAGCAAACATATTAATGAGGGTAAAAAAAATAAATACACATTTTTCTACACATTTTTGTACATATTTTTACACATTTTTCTACACATTCTTGTACATATTTTTCAGGGTATAGTTGGTAGCACACTATTCCTAAGAGTTATTTTCTACTTTTTATAAGGTAGGGATTTTCATTTGAGCTTTGGTCATATGGAGTAATATTATGTGAAATGTTCGTTTTAGCTAAAAACTTAGGCCTTGTTTGGCATCATTTTTTGTTTTCAGTTTCCTATTTTTTTTTTTTTTTTTTTTTTGAAAACAAAAAACCAAAAACAGGAAATAAGAAAAAGGTGTTTTCATTTTTCTGTTGTCAGTTTTCAAAATTATGATGATTTTAATAAGTTTATATAATTTTTGATTCATTATGGGAAATATATCATATACTTTTAACAAACAAAAAACCAAAAAACAAAAAAAACACATCAATGCCAAACGAACCCTTAATAATCTATTTTTTTTCCCAACCATCTAATATCTAAATCTATATCTAATATTAAATCAATTACCACTTAGTTATATTTTCCCCCGTAAAACCTCTCCATAATTAATACTCCGTACCAGTTTTTTTTTTTTTCCCATCAATTTCCCTTGATTTTAGGATTTTTAAGTTCTTTACACCTCTTAATAATATTTGCTTAAATATCACTATTTCATATGAACCCTATTCAAACTCCATAATGTTATTTATGTGTCATCAAACAACGTACAATTCAAAAGCTAATAAACCTTAACAATACTGTTGCAATTAAAGGACGACAAAATTGTAAATAAAAAGAGCAACCACGAAGGAGTAA